TAAATATCACTTACAGTATGGCCATTTTTAGAGTTGCGGCAGAAGCTGGAGGACGGCGAATGACCTTAAATGAATATAAATTTATGCTTTACATGGATAATACATACATATAAAATACATACATATATACATACATATATACATACATAAAAATTCAAGAAAAAATTTTACCTTGTAAAGATGAGGGAGCTCTATCTGCAAGTGACACCAGGTTTGAGACTGGCTAATTTTGAATTATGAAAAATTTGTTAAAATGAATTTACTTTTTAGATTTGAAATATGCATCTACATGATCGTAGGTATCTAGGTATGCAATCTAACTTCTCAAAAAGTTTTGGAAGCTGCTAACAGTTAAAAATGACACTTTACTAATGGTCCTCGCGAGTTATTTTGTTACCCCAGTTACCAATTTTTCTGTATCCTATACTATTTGGAAACTACTTCTTAGTCTTGAAGAAAACCGCGTATTTTCCCGCATTTTACGAGTTGCTTAGCTCAGAGTGGCAAACAAGAAGGTGACGAAAACGAAAGGTAACTAATTCCGAAAGTATCGAAGATAATAAGCTTCAAATCTGTGCAGTTGTATGATTATTTGGTATATTTTGAGTACCTCGTCCTCCATGACTACATACAACGCCGATTGCCCTCTTATGTTTCTTTTGATCGTTCGTCCATCCCAAACACGGTGAATGCCATGAAAATTGAATTTATTACTGGTCTGCCCTTCTCGTGATGCACACGAAAACCTAAATAATAATGAGAAGAAAAAATATTTTCAAAAGTGATTCCCTTAAATTTCGCATTTCCGTTCTTTATAAATCAAAGCCATAAGAATCATTTGGATATATCAACAAAGTTGAAATGGTAAATTGGCCACCGTAACGATTACAAAAGCTGACGTTTCGAGCGTTAGCCCTTCGTCGGAGCGAATAGAGGAATAGTGGGTTGTGTGTGCTTTTAAAGGCAGAAAATGGAGGAACGTTATTGGTGGGAACATGGCAACGAGAAAAACAAGAATAAATTAGTGGAATGAAAAGCGTTCGTTGATCCCTGTGGGATTTAGACTGCCGGTTTGAAAAATGAGCTTCAGTCTAAATCCCACAGGGATCAACGAACGCTTTTCATTCCACTAATTTATTCTTGTTTTTCTCGTTGCCATGTTCCCACCAATAACGTAGCTCCATTTTCTGCCTTTAAAAGCACACACAACCCACAATTCCTCTATTCGCTCCGACGAAGGGCTAACGCTCGAAACGTCAGCTTTTGTAATCGTTACGGTGGCCAATTTACCATTTCAACTTTGTTGATATATCCAAATTATTTC